GACGTGTGAGTGTTGGGGATTTCGTCTCCGGTTTATGATTTTTTTTCTTTTACAGGTTCTCTGGTTCGCGTTTTAGGTAAAGTGTCATTGAGAAGGCTGTGTTGGGTGACAGAGCGAGCGAGGTGGTTGGCTGTGGTGTGCAGGGAAGCTGTGAATGAATGGAAAAGCGAAGAGGTTGCAGTGGGTTTATTATTGCCTGAAATTACGTGAAATGGTGGTGGGTATTTAAGGAGGAATGGAATCTCGTCTGACAGTTACTTACCGCTTGTTTACGTAACTCGGGTGTTTTTTAGTGATTTTCATGCCCCGAATGTGGAAACCTTAAGTTATGTAATACATCTGGAAGAAAAATGCAAGTGGTTCTACAATTAACTTCAACATAGTTTATACTCGTGTTTGCAGTTTGTTACAAAGGCAGCATCTCTCTCTGGTCATAGATCTGTATTTTCTTGTTCCCATTCCAGGGCCAGTTATACCTTTAATCATATAGATAGGTCATATATTTTGATTAAAGGCTGTTTGTGGACATAAGAATACTTGACTGAAGGTAGTACAGTAGTTGTACATTCTTATATTTGGACACCATGCCAGTTCTTTTTATTGTAGTGGCTGTTTTATAATGGAGTCCATATAAAGTGTTTATAGGATGTCTAAAGCCATTTATTGCCTGCCTTGCACAAAATAAGGTCCTTGTTTGGAAGGATATGAAGGTTTAATGGAAGTTAAAGGTAAAACAGTTATGTAATATTTCTTGTATTATGAGACTTTAATGTATACTTTTAATACCCACAGATAGACTGGCAAATCAAAATATATTGACAAAATAATTACTAGAAAATTATATATGCAATTCTGCAGGTATATTAGTTTAGTATAGAAACTAGAAGATAGAACCCAAAATCTTCATTATAGGTTTGTGTTGATTGTCTTGCTACACTTGCATCTAGGATAGTAGGATTTATACCCTTGCTAGAGTTCATGGTAATCAGCTGAGCCGTGGGTTAGCTGATCAGCAAGGATAGTGGGTATTTGTCATCTCTAGAGATGAAGTCCCAAAACCAGATTTTTTGTATTTGCACCTTCATAAATATTGGGATATCATGCAGACCCAGAAATCCAAACCTAACCTTTCCAGAATGTGGTGGAAGCCTATTGGCCATTATAAGAGTGAAGGGCATTAGGCATGTGGCCCAACTTGCAGATATTAAGGCTTATAGGCTGGGCACACATGACATGACAGTGACAAGACCTCATACCTCCCCTTTACAATTTTAATTTATTTTTCTTGCCTAAGGGTTTTTATCTTTTTACCATTTCCCTGTCTCTATTTGTCACTTGATTTGGTTTATCCAGATAGTTTTTGATGCACAGACTCCATGTTGCCTCTAGGTAGTCCAGAACTCCAATTTCAGTTTTCTCCTTGTCACAGTGGGCAGAAATCTGGGTTGATGTTACCGAGAGTGATGTACAGAGAGAGTGCAAAATGGACACTGCCATCCTATAGGGCATAAAAAATAAGAAAGTATGAATCAATACATGTATATCTGGAGCGGTCTCCTATTTACTGGAAATGACAAATAGGCTCTGCACCAAGTACCCATTACCCATTCATGTTTACCTTGCAAGGACCAAAACAAATGTGACACATAACTCATTATTGCAATCTATCAGGTAGTCCATGTATTACTACACGCTTGTGAGAATGATTTTGTAATTACCAGTGTCTGTTTTTCCGTATTCATGAATTTAATTCTTTTACTTTTACTATACGTCTTTTATGTGTTTTGGTAATTATTTACGCTATTTTGTACAATAACCTGTTCACTGCGTGTTTTCACAAGGAGATTTGACAAGCCGCGTGACATCTTTCACTCAGAAGCACCAGTGAGAAATCTCGCATTTTAAGTGTTGCATTGATTCCAAGTCATTTTTAAAGACATATAGTGGATATATAGAACAAATAGACATTAGTATTTCTCTCAGCCTGATATTTGTGCCCAACAATTGCCCCAAATGCCAAAAAGATATTAGAAACCAAGGAATTCGGACCATAGAAGGAGGCGAAGGAAAGTTTGGTCTTTCGCTATATAAAGGCATGTGGTTTTACCCTGGAGGTCAAGGGGGGATAGCCCCCTGGCTAGGTGCATATAATAACACAGGAGTCCAGGTTGGGCTAGGCTAGGTAGACTTTCAAAGATGGCAGGCATGGCCATAGTTTCACTGGCCGATATTCATAATTTTTTTGTTAGAATTTTGGCTTGGGTGTTCGAAAAATACTTTGTTTCATAAATCACTTTCTTTGATTTTTGCATGTTCCTTTTGTCATTCAGTGCCATCCATTATCCCCCCCACCTCCAGTTCCCCACGCATCCCCCAAGATAAAGTCCATACCTATATTTAGAAAAGAGCAGTTTTTGTCTAACATTTTACAAGTGCCTTTAGCAATTTTAGTTAACCTTTGCTATGTCTTTTAATAGAAGCCTTTTGTTGTCATTGGTTTTAACAATGCTGACAAGCAAAATGCTAAATAAACATTTCAAGCTTTAAGTTCAACCTCTGCTGTCCCTTGTGCAAGGAAGGAATCACTAAATTATATAATATAGATAAAATGCAAACTTTGAAGTCCTGCTTGAAGTGTTTATATGCATTAGTTTCCACTTTCCAAGAAATGAACAAATGCATATTCAAAGTTTATCAGCAACATGATGCACTCTTCACTTTGTTGTACCTTAGAGATTACTCTGCTAATTTTAGCTATATATACTAAGTATATTGGTATCTACTTGTTAGATGGCCCAGAGCCCTAATCCAGTGTCTGCAGAAGTATGGTCCCCAATTTGTTTACCATCCCTCCCCCAATAACTTCCATTATTCTGCATGCCCACTTCACTACCTGTCACACAGGTGAAACCTTGTGCCTTAAGCCTTCATTCTGGGCAATCTTTAGATATTGTTGGTAATGCAACATGCCTTAACCCCTTCCCGACGGGTCACGCCTATAGACGTGAAAACAAACCGCTCAAAATGTGGTGTGTGACTGTATGCCATGGTGGCAAGCCAGTGATTCAGCTTGATGTACTGAACTCCTGTGCTGAAAGTCGGTGCGCTGCCATTGATCGCCAGAGTGTAGTTTTTGTTTTCTTAACCCGTCACCAAGGGGTTAAGATTTCAATTTATTATATCTAAATGATCCCGTACTTATGTTCTGTCAAAATATCAATAATAGTATTGTGTAGTTAGATTTTGTGAAAAGTTTGCATTTCCCTTATCTGTTTCGTTGTTGTAAATTCTTACAACAATGCTACAATGTAGTATCCATGTGCTCAAGGTGTTGCTATCTTAGATCAGATATACTACTGATATAGGAATAAAGATAAATCCTCCCTGCTAGTGATCGGGTAAGACCCTCCACAGTGAAATTTTGAGAGGAATATGTGTATTTATGAAGTTGGGGTATGGTTAAAATTAATTTCATAGAATTTCTCAAAGTAAAAGAATTAGTTTTCATGTGTTTTTGATTTTGGTAATCTTAAAGTGCAGAATGTTAAATTTTAACACCCCATTTCATAGTGAATCTGCAAATATCCACCTATTGTTTTAGAATCCATATTTTAAAACCACCATGAAGATGTATGCCAGTCCTTCTTTGATTTTGCATGGTTAGTGAAGAAAAGCTTGTGAATTAAAAATATTTAAATCTTTCAGATCAAGATGAATGTGAATATTGGAGCAGCCATATTGCTAGCATGCATCTCAGCAGTTGCATCGCTAAGGGCAGATGACTGTGAAGGTATGTTTAATGAAGCTTGTATTTCCTATAAACATGAAATGAAATTCAGTCAAAGAATTTCAAATTGCATAATTTCAAGTTAAGCTATAGTGTCTAGATGAAATTGATATTTTATTCTTTGTACACTTGTTACTGTGTTTTCGAGTATACTACAAACATGTATATATATTCCTTATGTTGACAGCCTTGGTTATAATCACTTATTTTTTGCAGTGTGTGTCGGGTTCCTCACAAAAATAAGCCAGACTCTTGCAGACAGTGAAAAATCAGACCCTAAGTCCATTGAAACTAAATTTAAAGAAGTTTGCTCAACTTCCAAAGGTAATTTCTTTATGTACATATTGTTTAGTATTTTTTTGTTATTCTTTGTCAAGTATGTTTCTTGTTTCTCCATATTGGTGCTTTGTAATATGTACCTTGCATTTAAATTGGTTTAATATAACCCCTAATATTTCACTGTTTCCTTCAGGTAAAGAAAATAGATTTTGTTATTACCTTGGTGGGCTAGAAGAATCTGCAACTGGAATCCTTGGTGAGATGTCCAAGCCCTTATCATGGGGTATGCCCGTGGAAAAAGTTTGTGAGAAGCTAAAGAAGAAGGATGCACAGATTTGCGAGCTGAGATATGGTAAGTTTTTTAAGTTTTATAAATCTTTAGTTAGGGTACTTGATGAATTTTTAGATTTTTTGTGAAGTATAGTGAAATTCATAAATTGTATGTATACATGTATTTGCGTGTGTGACTGACTGTTCTTGTTTTATTATTTCAGAGAAGCAAATTGACTTGAACAATGTGGACTTGAAGAAATTGAAGGTTCGAGACCTGAAGAAAATTCTTAACGATTGGGACGAGACTTGCGACGACTGCTTAGAGAAGGGGGATTACATTAAGAGGATTGAACAGTTGAAGCCAAAGTACATGCGTGGAGAACTGTAATACAAAAGAAACTAGGGTGATGAGGACTTTTAAGTTTGTGCACTTCATCATATGATGTGTGAAGGTTACTTGGATTGGTTTACTCACTGGACAAGTGCAACAGATAACTTCATCTTAAGTGGACAAGTTTTGTTTAAGGGAATGTTGTTTTAAGTTGCAAATGACCTTACAGTGTGTGGCAAGTTAAAGTGCAGTTTCTAGCATTAAGCATTTATTTTTAAGTTCTATTTATTGACTCTTCTCTTGGGCATACACCCAGATAAACAGTTCAAAGAAGAGATATGGAACTGTGACTAAATGTGAAAAAAGTAGTATTTATTTAATAAATTCTCTAAATTTGTACAAGTATGGAACGCAAAACACGTAGACCATTTTCTCTACTGAAGATTGAATGGGATCACTTTATAACTTTCGTAGTCCAAAGATGTCATACATTTTGTGAAGAATAGTTCTTAACAAAAAGTTGAAAGGGAAATGTTTAATGTTTACCATTGTTTCTTAACAATGTTATAGGGAAAGGATAAAAGTTGTTCAGTGTTTCATTGAGCACAAACAGCCGCTTGAATGATACCAAAAATCACTGGATTTTATAGATATTGTTGATAAACTTTTGTAAAAATCTGATCTATAGTTTCTTTATCCCCCCCCTCCTTACCTTTTTTTTTTTTTTTTTTTTTTTGTGGCTGGAAATTGAACCACATTAGAAACTATGAAACTTGTCTGAGAACTGTATACCATAACACTAATTACCAAGATAAAACTGGTCTTGTATGAAGTTTGTTTTTGGGCCTGACCTGCTTGATGCAAGTACATGAATATAATTCTTATTCTGTAAGCCTATTGCATCTCATTGAATCAGAATAATGCATATATAAAGATTTCCTGAATTTGAAATTAATTCATTAGACTAAATTTTGAGGCAATCATTGCCTTCACAAAGTTGCATTATAACAACAATCCAGCTCAAATGTTGCAAGTTATGGTTTGGTATTTTGCTTCTTTGCAATTATTAATCTCTGATGTTGCTATGTAGAAAATATTTGCCAAGTGAAGACATCTGTTTGTTTTAGCTAATATGTCATGGTTACAAAAATGGTTTCTCAGTTTTGTTTGTAAAAATATAATTTGAGAAACCTTGGTACTCGACTTAACAGCTTTGCTGAATTCTATCAGGTGGTGAACTGTCCTGATGCTCCATTAATATTTTAGAACTTTTAATGCCATGTTCACGCAGTAATGTACTACAGGCAAGCACAAGGGTTTTGCCCATCATCAGGTACTTGTAGTGAAGACTCCAGGCAATGGCTAGTAATGATATACAGCTATTAATGGTATTGGCTACTACCAGTCACATTTAGTTGTTCATTGACTTGGCCATGTGGAAATAACAGGCTTTACCCTGTGAACACATCACTATGCCGTGTTTACTGAGGGTAAAGCTCTTAAGCCTGTCCACACGAGGATTCAAACTACTCTGTAAATAAAGTTCTCTTTTTCTCGCTGTGCCCATAAATCCTGCCCACTCATATGGACAGGCCTTTAAAAAAAAAAGGTTTGTAAAGGCTTGTCCACATATGAACTGAGCCTGGGTGTACTGCCATTGAACATGTTTTTCCCTGGTGATTTCAGTCAAATGCAGGCATGGAGAATCTGCTGGTATATTGAAAGTTAATAGGTCTTGTGGCTGCTGTACTATTCTTAAACCTGGGATATACTGCCTAGTAAATGTAGGCATAGATTGAGACTTTGTTAACTGTAACAAAAATCCTTTCTAGTATCCTCTTTCAGTGGTCTGTAGGGGTTTTGGAAATGGAGACCTTAGCCCTCACCTCAACGAATTTTGCATGGTCTTTTCTTCTCTGCCTTTCCTTTTCTTTTTCTTCATCCCCTTCTTTCCACTTATTCTAATCATTAATTCATTTTTAACCTTTTCCATCACAATACTTTACCATAGTGCTAATTGACCTTTGATGCCTTTAACACGTTTGTTTCAACCTTTAACCATTCTAGTATCCCTCACACTAGAATCCCAGCTTTGGTATATGTAAAAACATGTTACTATTAAAAAAATCTTTATTTTCCATACCATATTTTTTACACCTAACTCAAACACCTCATCCTGTTTGCATATGGTTTACAAATGCAGTCAATAACTAAAAATGAATTAATTACAATTCTCTTGTACTTGCATAACAATAATAAAAAATAAAGACCTACAAAATTTGAGGTCAAAGTGAATTACAGGGGTTGAAACCTTTATAATAATACTGCATTACAGTTATGACAATAAAACACATTTTCATTAAGTTTCTACTGTACACAGCATTGCAAATGAGAACTTTCAACTAACTTGACCATATAATCAGTTCACTCTTTAACATTTCCTAATAACACTTACATTTCAATGTGTTTCTTTTGCTGAAATGGATTTTTTTTTTCACTTTCATAATTTCTTTCAGCAATAATTCTACAGTTTATGAAAGTAAACATTACAGTAGAAACTGCAGTACAATAATATCCATATACAGCACTTTACATACATGAGGTCAATATTTACTTATTCCTTACACTCTATCAAACACTTGACTCCAATTAGAAAAAGAATTTGTATACAATGTTTGGCCTTTCACTGATATTCTTGTATACCAAAGTGTAAAATCACAAAACTTATATTTCTTTATGCAGCAAATAAGTACTAAGTACTTTACCAGTTTCATTTACAACATAAGAATACTTGCATTTCTATGCATCATACATTAATCTGTAATAATTCTTCAGACACACAGTTATGTACATGACAACACAAAAGCTGCTTGGCATTGCATGACCATACACATTCCTCTTTTGCATACACACTCAGGAGTTCTGTACAGACAACAACACTGCTGCTTAACACTGTATGGCCATACACACTGCAAATCTGGGAGTACAAAATCTACTTTATTTCTATTCTGACTCTGAAGCAGCAGATGATCTCTCTTGACGCTTCATGGAAAGGAGGGCCTTCTCTCGAAGCTTACGTTCCAACTCTTCCCCTCCCATGCTCTCTCCTGATTCACTCTCTGACTCCTGACAAGGGGGAAAATTGTGTTTTTATTTTTCTTACCACCAACCCTTTAATTAAAGTGATGCAAGGTTAATGACTATGATGTTAGAAGCCAAGATTATAACAAAAGTGATACCTAAAATGTGACTTTTATACCATAAGCTTCACTCAGTTTGAGAAACCGCTATATGATTTATAAGTCTTCAAAATTAAAACATGCTTCTGAGCTTAAGAATATTCAAAACATGTTTTTGTGATAGCTGGCCTTGAAACATGCTTCTGAGATAATGAATTGGTCTCTTAAACATTTCCCCCAAGTCCTTTGTCTCTCACCTGAAAGCAGCTTCTAAGGCGATATTCCCACAATACTGGTAAATAATTTTTTCCCACCTCCGTATTTGGTGATTTCCAACAACTCTAAAGGTCACTGTCAACTTGTATAAAATCTTGGTCTGACTGACAACTTACCTCATGTCTGTGTTTTTTATGCTTCTTCTGCTTCTTATGTTTCTTGTGTTTCTTCTTCTTTTCCTTCTTTTTCTTCTTCTTTTCTTCAGTTTCAGATCCCTAGAAAAAAAAATATATAAATTAACAGACATTAAAAATTCAGCTGTGAAATGCTACAGCATTACAAGGCAAAAACTCTTAAATATTTAAAAACTATACATATAGTACCAACTATATTATTTTTCACACCATCCACTCGGCTAAACTGACCTCAGATTCACTACTGCTATCCTTCTTCTTGTGCTTCTTCTTCTTCTTCTTCTTTTTCTTTTCAACAGGAGATGATTCTCTGCTTGAAGATCCCTCATCCTCTTCTTCCTCTTCTGATCCATCTACTGATCCCGAGTCCATTCTCCTCCTCTGCCGTGGAGACTGAGAAACAGATGCAGACCGCGATCTCCTCTTAGGAACTCTACGGGACATTCTGCCGTCGTCACTATCAGATTCGTCAGAGCCGGAAGCAGGATGATTATTCTCATTCCTGTAAACATAACAAATTAGTGGGTTTGCTCATGAGGATATACAAAAAACAAAACATATTCAGTGTAAAACAGAAAACAATCAAAAAGTGAGAGAGAGAGAAAAAAAGTTGAGTTTCACCATTCTACTCACTTCTTTGTAAGCTTATATTGGACTTCCTTGATTGTGTCTGCTGAGTAATTGGCAAGCTGCATCAGTCGACTAGCATTGCTTATATTGTGTTTTTTGTCTGCAGCTGCTGGGGGAGGAGGACCACCCCTTCGAGGAGAGTGAGATGCGCTGCCATGCTTCTTACGGACTGGTGATCGCGAGTGTGATCGGCGATATCTGCTGTTAGAACATAAATTGTAAATTACTGTTGAGATAAAATAAACAAATAAAAAAATAAATAAATAAATAAAATACAAAAGACATTTACAGCAATTGTGATGCATATTTCTCTATTATATTAATTGCATTCATACTACCTACCTCTGAGGAGGAGACATAGGCCGTCTACGTGGACTGGATGACCGCCTCCCTCTTGGACTAGGCGAACGTCTTCCTCTTGGGCTGACTGATCTTCTTCCCCTAATGCTGGACGATCTCCTCCCTCTTGGAGTAATGGACCTTCGACCTCTAGGGCTTGGAGACCTTCTGTTCCGAGGGCTTGGTGATCTGCCTCTTCTCATGTTTGGGGACATTCTGCCTCTGGGACTTGGTGACCTTCGCATTCTTGGGCTACCCTTTGGACTCACAGACCTCCTACCACGAGGACTAGGGGACCTCCTATGAAATCTTGGGCTTGGGGAATGTCGACGGGGACTGGGTGACCTTGGTGATGGAAGCAAATACAATTTTGAACCAAAACAAATGCAAAAAGATATACTGTTTTAACCCGTTACTGCCACGTCATGTGTATAGCCATTATAAGAAACCGCTTAATCTGCCACGTACGGCTATACGTGTGGAGACATGCAAGAGTACGCTGAGTGGTAAGTTCCACTATATGTTTTTCTATCTATTTTCAAAGAAATGATCAATGAATCAATATCAGCTCATTATATTGCTCAGACTGCCTCTAGGTCTTGTACAGCAAAAGTACAGTAAAAAGGTAATTGTATCATCTGGAAAACATACCTGCGACGATATCTAGGAGAGGGTGACCTCCTTCCCCGCCTGGGTGGTGAGGGAGACCTCTTATAACGCGGGGGTGACCTACGCCGTGGAGACCCAGCCCCTCTATGGTCACCAGTAAAGT